CTCTTCTCTGCTCCCAACTACTGTGGAGAGTTCGACAACGCTGGTGGCATGATGAGCGTGGATGAAACCCTGATGTGCTCCTTTCAGGTATGATGACATAATACTGAATGCCAAGCATGGATATAATCTGTGGTTACATCTGAGAAGTCCCAGTTAGGAACCACAGTAAAAATCAGAATGTCTTCTCATCCATCCATTCGGTGCTTTTCATCCCTGTTTAACGAGTAATCAATAAGTATATTAGAAGTGATGGTTAAACACAGCCAGTGAGCAGAGACAAAAGTTGAGATCACACTATGGTGCTAAATGATTCAAAGCAATTTCATTGATGTTTCCTGCTTTGCACTGTATGACTGAATAAATGACATTATTTGCAGAATTAAACACATCCACAGAAGCCCCCAAACTCCAGCGACCTACCGAGGAGCTAACTGGAATATAATTGCAATATACAGAGCTGTGCAAAAGTGTGGAGTCAACTCATTTCTGTATATTTTGTTTCTAAGAGGTCAGGCTTTCTTGTTAGTTTTTAAGTGTTCATGAGCGATAGTTATCCAGTTTAGTCCAGTTCTTATATCTGACCATCTTCAGAGGAACGTTTGTCTGTTGAGCCGTTTCAACACTAACCTTTGAATCATTCAAACAGCCAGCTTTAATTTGTAGGCACGTTGTCACCAACGGCCAAAAACACAAAATTTGCTCCTATTTATTTTAGTTGAATCTATGAAAAATATTTTACGACTGTCAAATATTTTTCATAGATTCAAGCTGATTCCTAGAGGCCTGCTGCCCAAAAACCTGGATATCTTGACGTAGCGTGTTGTTTAATGTCCTTAAAACTGAGGAAATCGGACAAAACGCGTGGCAGGATGTCCTTAAAGGAGCCTGGAGAACTTTTCCTGAAAACTAAAGAAATTACGAGAAGCTTCAGGCTGTGTTGAACGATAAAGATGTTCATGCAAATGTTGACTTCATGTTTTTCATCTTGAAAAAATAGTTTTTCACATTGATCATCGTTCATCTGGGACGATCTAAAAATCCTATAGTGTGGTGGTTAGCGCCATCACCTCACTGCAGGAAAGTTGAAGCTAATGCTGCTCTGTTTGCGTGTTGTAGATCCTGAAGCCGTCTGAGAAGAAGGCCAAATACCAGTATGGAGGGATGAACTCCGGTCGACCCGTCACTCCTCCCCGCACAGCCCAACCTCCAAAGAAACGATGAAGCAGAGGCACAGAGACGTCAACCACCGTTTCGTGTTTCACCACACAGAATAAGTAAAGGCAACACTTGGCAGAAGAGGAGCGGATCAGTGCAACTCTTTTAAAAGACACACCCAAATCAGACTTTCATTTGCATCCTTATTTTTCATCCCCTGAACTGCTGTCACCCTTCTCCCTCCGTGCACCCCCCCAGCCCCCCTGCATCTGTGTAACATTTTTAAAACAAAGTGTTAAGAGAAATAAGAAAACAATACAAGGGGTCATTCTGCAGCATATCGGAGTGCTTTTTTTGTTTTTGTTTTGTCTGTGTCTTTTTTCTTCTCCTTTTTTGAGAACAGAATGACTGCTAATTTAGTTTACCACATCTCCTTACCCCCCTGCCTGTACAGACACAACAGGTATTAATGGCAACTGCTGGGTTTTCAATAAATAATACAGGGAAGAAATGTGTGCAGGCTCTGTGTGGTTCTTGAAGTCAAACCAGCTCACGAGAGAGCCCATTAAACTCTCAAAGGGACACAAACACCACAACAAGGGAGAGATCCTCAAATTTAATATATCGGTGAATTCAAAGTTCACTCTCGTTGGCTTAGCCAGGCTAAGGCTAACTTTTAAACTGATCCTGATAATGTCTCCTGCTAAACTGGTTCTTCTAACACAGATTACGTTTATTTGTAAAGAACAATGAGCTCATTTTTCTGCAAGTAAAGGCTTCTCTCAAGTATGAGGAACCCACGTTTGTCTGGTCTGCCACTTCTTTATCTGAAAGTTGTATTGTTGCTCGTCCTGGACTATAAAACCTTAAACGGCCGAAATAAAATAAAGGCATATTTATATTTCTGTAAAGTCAGCTCAATCTGAACATTATCCATGAAACAAAGAACTGGTTTATGTTTGTTTAACTATTTCAGCTGAGTTAGGCATTCTTCTAAAGCCGCATGTTAAACTATACCACCGAGGCCCACAGATATAATCCGACCTGCTCTACTTTAATCCTCAATCTGAAAGACTTGAGATGCTAAAATGTAAATAAAAAGATCTCACAAACCCTTATTTTATTATTTTTAACAGAAACAGCATCAGACATGTTAGCATTGTGATCTGAGAAAATGAAGCATTTTAAGAAGAAGAATGGCTCCTTTTGAATTTGATGGCAGCAACATTATCTCAAGTTTGGTTAGCTTACCGCTGTGTAGCATCCCGTCTTTATTCTACATGTCTGGAAACATGTTGAAGACCAGCTGCTGGGCTTTTTGCCTCGGTGAGAGAAGATGGTGGTGTTTCTGGATCATTTTTAACACACTTCTTTGCATGACAGAGCCTTAACCTGCATTTGTGGGTGGAAACACTGAAGCCCTGAGCCCATGCATCCCTGATGGAGTCAGGCCTGTTTTTAATGAATTGTTGTCTGTGGGCCAGAAGATCACAGACATCCAATATTGGTTTTTGACCTTGTTCCTTTTGATATTATGTTCTGTAGACGATATTCAGTCTTTAAAATTTTAGACTGAGGAATTTTATTCTAAAATTATTCCACAATTTGTACACATTCTTTTGTAGATTGGTGAACGTCCCTGCCATCTTTACTTCGGAGAAACTTTGCTTCTCTTAAACGTTTTTAAAAATAATAATAATAATAAAAGAAAAGTCCAATCATGTTACTTACCTGTTCCCAAAGAAATTTTTGAACAGACAAAACACTTACCAGCCTTTTGTTGCCACTGTCTCCAAGTTCATTTATGTTTTGAAGTACTAACACCATCAAACTCAAAGTGAGCTTATATTTTGCTTAAAATGAGAAAACTTTCTCAGTTTAAACATTAAATATTTTCCACATTGTTGTAAATAAAATATGGGTTTAAACTTTGCAGATGCATGCCTTGTTTGTATTTATTTTTCCACGATGTTCCTCCTTTTGTTTGGATTGTAAACTTCATGCCTCACTTGGGTTAATTTTTTATCATTTACTACAAAACGTTCCTCCTTTTTCTGCCATGTGTGATGTTTAACCAGAGGACCGGTCTTGAGTCCTCCCCCAGTAGACTCCAAATCCAAATAAAGAGTCAGAGAGGAAGAGAGGGTTTAACAGAGCACGGGCAGATGTGCTTTCATGGCAAAAAATGCAACTAATATTAAAAGACTTCCTGAATAAGCTGGATGTCATTGTTTACAGCCAACCTTTATTTCCCCTGCTTCTTCCTTTTTAAAGCTCTTCTGCTGTAATGTTTAATTTTCAGTTAACACAGGCTCAAAGTTTCCTTCACGGTCACTCTGAGGTCCATGTTTCTTACATGTATAAATGGTTAAATAGCTAATGTGTCTTCTTTCAGACTTCAAGGGGAAATAAATCGTTTAAACGTGTAAGATTTATCAAGATTTATTACCACGAAGCATTGTTACAACAGACAAATAGGAAACTTTTGTGGTTGACTTACTTTTATTACGTCTACATGTACACACACTGTAGCAAATCCCTTACCTGTTATTTTGGATGTAGAAAAAGATCCTGCTGACTGTAACTGTACATAAAAATGAACAATCTACACCAAACACACAACCTGTCAAATAAGTTTATTCGCACACACTCACACACATATACACAGAGGCATGAAGTCCCTTCCCTCAAGTAATTCAGTAAAAATCTGTTCCTACTGAGCACATCATGTACCAATGTGTCAGACAGAAGGATGTAGAACACAAAACCAAATGTATTGCAGAGCAGACATGAATATTTTAAATTGGGTTGTATTATTAAGGCCCGTCACGTGGAGCTACACACTGCCTGAGAACTACGCACGCCTTCACTTCAAGTCAGTTTAGATTGTTTATAGAAAACAGTAAAGACATTCTTGTTCTTGATTGCCACTCTTTGCTTTCCACTGCAACACAACGCACACCTGCTGAAGTGGCATTGACACAACGTTGCAAAAACGTTGCCTTATTTTAGATTCCTATTTAAAGATGATGACACGGCCTGTGCTGGTTTATTTCCCGTCGGATGTAAATCCAGCATAAATCAAGTAAAAAAAATATTTAAAAAAAAA